AGATGGACGTTGCAGTGAGAGATCGCACCACTGCACTCCAGCCTTGGTGACAGAGCGAGACTCTGTCTAAAAGAAAATAAAAATAAAAATAAAATAAAATAAAACTCAAATAAATGGATCAAAATGATCAAGATCAAGTAAGCAATTTTGTAAGATAAAGGGTTGAGTACTAATTTTCCAAATAAAATCTATCTTGATCTACCTTTATAGTAGGTATAATAAATGTATGCCTTTTAACTTGTTAGTGATGTCTGGGCAAAAATATTTAAATAACAACTGTTGTTATAAGTGCATGAACATGCTTGTGTACATTTTCTGCATTCTGCTTCCCCTGTTATTTTTACTCAAATCCAATTAGCTTGTTTTCACTATAGACAAAGTGATTATGTCCGTTTCCATCATAAAAGTAGATAACAGGCAGACAGAAAAGCTTAAATTGAGGATTATGAATTAGTCCCAATAATTAGTTGAAAGCACTGGTCAATTATCATCTCAAAGATTATTACTTTTTCTATTAAATAACTTTATTGAGATATAATTCCAATACCATACAATTTGCCCATTTAAAGTGTGTAATTAAATTGTTTTTAGTCTATCAGCATATCTGTGCAACAATGATGACTGTCGATTTTAGAACATTCTATCACTTCCAGAAGAAATCCCGTATTTTTTCGTCACCCTTTTGTCCCCTATCTCCCCTACTTCAGCCCCGAGCAACCACCATTTCCCTATTTTCAACTGTCATATGAAGACAATCATGTATCATGTGAGAAATTTTTTGCCATTATTTTTTGCCAATGTTGGCAGATAAAGGGAGCATCCCGAAGGATGATGGCATTGCCCATGTTCCTCCAGTGATACTATTTTACATGCCTCTTCTATAGTTGTTCATTCCAGCTCTTAACTCTAATTACTGTTATTCTATGCTTACGAGTAGTTTCTTTTCTCTAAATGGAAAAATAATGGTTAGCTGTATGTATCTTCCCTGCACTCCCATGCCCATAATATGATTGATTGATTAACTAATTGATTGAATAGTAATAATATTGAACTAAACAGATTATTGGGCAAGACTCCTGATGCACTAAAAGCATTCGAGGTTTTATTTGGTGGTATTTCACAGTAATGCGGTAAAAATCATTGTGTAGCGTCCTTCTCAAACACTTTAGATGGGGTTTCATATCCTTCTTCTGATAGAACTAGCTATAAAATCCACTATACTTTGTAAAAAGTATGTTACAAAGTTGAACTATGTATGTGTGAATGTTACCAGGCCTGTGCTTTAGAACACTGCCTCCTTTTTCCTAGCCTTGGATTTCTCCATAAGCTGAAAATAACAGTGTTCAGTTAATTCAAGCGTTCTCTATACCAGAGCCGCAGCCCCACCCAGGAGTGCCTTGGAAAGAAGATGGTGGTGAAAGCCTTGCCCTAATCTCAGGCCATTTACCTTCTAGTGAGAAGGTAGACTTTCATCAAATTGTTACCTAAAAAAATGTAAATCACAGACACAATCCAGTGCTACATAACTGAATTATTTCAAGTAAGGAGACACTGAAGGGGGAGCTTTAAGCCAAAATTTCAAAAATGGAGAGATTTTCCAGGTTACGAGGGAAGGAGGAGCATACCAGGCCAGAGAACAGGGGACTCCTGGACTCCAGCTGGACTCCTTCAGGCTCAGGGCGATGGAGGTACAGGAGCTGCTCTGGAAGAGAGGCTGTTCAGAGATTTTCATTATTACTCCCATGTCACTGAAGCCTATCACCTGTTTTAAATGAGGCAAGCCACATAATTTGATTATTGACTGGAAAACCTTAAATTTCCCTATGTAGGCCCTGAACTAAATCTAATTAACTGTGACAGCTGAGCTGCTCACATTTTCTCCAGTAATGAAGGGAGTATAATTTTGAGCTCTAATTTTATCTTCCGAGTTTTGTCTTAAAATTTAGTAATTACTAAAGTCATTTCCAGAAATTAATTTAAAAAGTGTGTCAGAGCTCCAAATGTCTAATTTAAAAGAAAGAAAGGGAAAAAAAAAAAAAAAAAAACAGGCCAGGCATATGGCTCATGCCTGTAATCCCAGCACTTTAGGAGGCCAAGGCAGGAGGATCATCCCAGGTCATGAGTTCAAGATGAACCTGGTCAACAAGGTGAAATCCCATCTCTACAAAAATACAAAAATTAGTTGGGCATGACGGTGGGTGCCTGTAATTCCAGGTACTCAGGAGGCTGAGGTGGGGGAATAGCTTTACCTGGGAAGTGGAGGTTGCAGTGAGTCAAGATCGCATCATTGCGCTCCAGCCTTGGAACAGAGTGAGACTCCATCTCAAAAAACTAAAATAAAATGAAAACCGAAAACCAAAAACCATGTTTGGATTCAAACTATCCAAATCTTAGGATGAGTTTTACATATGAAAGAAAAATGATGGTAAAATAAAGGTTAATTACATTTTTGCATTTCAAAGATACTTAAGATGGTCTCCCCTTAACCTTGGGGGATTCATTCCAAGACCCCCAGTAGTTGCCCAAAGCTGCAGACAGTATTGAATAAATCCTATATTACATGTAACATATTTGCTTACATACGTATATTCATGATAAAGCTTAATTTACAAATGAGCATAGCAAAAGATTATTAGTAACTAATAAAACGAGGGAACAATTATAATAACAGGCTGTAATAAAAGTCATGTGAATGTGCTTCCTTTCTCTCACCAAATATTGTATTATACTATACTCTTGATAACTGAAACCATAGAAAGTGAAACACAGATAAGCAGAGGATTACTGTACACGTCTGGGTATTGACAAAACAATGGGATTATTGATTCAACCCTCAGAAAATCTCTGTATCAACAGCCTTTTCTATGGACACCAAGAATAGGTTTCCCAATGTCCTACCATGGTAACTTGCGTTAATAATCTATGCATTGAAAAAAACATTTGAGTTCAGTAGTAGAATGAGAGAAAAGAGTGAAATGCAAAACAGCTAAAGGAAAATACTCATAACAGCCTCACTGATGAGACCAGCAAAAACATTGTTGCTCCCCGTCTCAAAATATCTGAATCACAATATCTGGATGACAGTTTCATCTTTTAATTCTACCTAAAAGTTCATTAGTTAATGATTCATTTGAGTTAACCAGCTTTTTCCTTCTAAGAAACGGAGATGCATCCTTAATATCCTTTCTAATTTCCAAGCATCTCAAGAAGCTGTCAGTGACCTTAGGCTTGTCCTGGAAAAGCCTTAGACTTCAATCATTCATTCATTCATTCATTCAATTCAACAAACATTTCAAAGTTAAATCTGATATTATTCCAAGCACTGGCGTTACATCAATGCACAAAACAAACTGCCAAAAAACACCTGTGCCCTCAAGAAATTTGCATTCTACTTAGGGATGGGAAGGAGAAAGAAAACTATTAATAAGTATAAGAAATGAATAAATAGCACCTTAGAAGCTGATGACTCGAATGTGACAAAATAGAGCAGATAATAGGGGACCGGGAATTTGGAGTCCTGACTCATAAATATGAAGGGTCTTAGATGGGATTAGTCCTAATCTTATTTACAACTTTAATGCTATGCGAGTTTCCTCATAAATCTTAACAGATGGGCTGTGTTAGCATAATAGCCATCCTTTATTCAGTGTTTGCTGTGTGCTAAATGAGCACTTAATTTCCACTGAACTATAAGCCACAAATCACTATCTCTGCTCAGACCACAAGCAGGGTCATCTTAGACACAGTCACTGCTTGTTAGGGACACAGACCAAAAAGCAGAACAAGTAGAAGCCGTTGTAACCTATGCCAGCGACTTCCCCGACAGAGCTGAGGGGTGAGGTGCATGAATATTGGGTTGCTGAGAAATAGTGAGGAAAAGGGAGTTGAGCAATGGATTTGAAATTCAGCGTGAGCAGGACAGTTTTCATGATCTTAATTATCACATTTCTTCTTAATATTCTGGAATTGTTAAGTACTCTACTTGCCAAGAAAAAAAAATTAAATATGTCTGCTTTTCTACAAAACTATTGACTATTTTATATTTAAGTATACTGGCAATTAAGTGTTAAAAATGGACCTGCATGGGAAAAAAGAATATCTCTTTCAAAATCATTTTTTGGTACTAGAAAAAAGGAGCTTAGGTGGTTTACATATTCTGAAGATAAAACAACCTCAATGGAATTCAGAGCGTCCTTTCAACCAGCCTGTGTTAAAAGTTTTATGCTTCTTTTTTTCTATGACATTTTATTCTTTTATGTACTGATTTCACTTTTCAATCTTCTCAATTCTGTAATAAAGAAATAGGATTTCTGTTCAGTTTTTAAGGGTTTAGTTTATTTTCTTTCATGTAAGTTTAGTTTACTTATCTTTCTTTTTTCATATCTCATTTGGTTAAATAAAAAATAGTACTGCTGCAATATTCTTGGCAGTATGTTTCACTCTGTAATTTGTTTAGTATGTGCATTCACACAAAGAGGAATTCAATACTGAGGAAGGAAATGCAGATGAATCTCTGGTTTTCATGCATATGCACATTCTGATTTTGTTTATCCATTTGTGCAGGTAAAAGTCTCTCTGCTTCCTTAGCATCCCAAGGGGTCACTGTTCCACCAAGAGCCCTTAGCTGCCAGCACAGAATAACTTAGCAGGATAACAGAAATACATAATTATATGGTGTTTGGAATCCTTAATAAGAATTTCTATAGCAGACAGCACTGTTAAACATTGAAGAGAATAACTCTCTAAATATGTAATCAAAATTTGTTGATAAATGAAAACTTCCAAATTTAATTGTTATTATTGGATGTCCCAGCAAAATTCTAAACAGATTGATCATTTTCACGGAATCACTATCTACTTAGTGGAGAAATAACACAAGTTTATTTAGATTCTGCCTGGTGTCCACTTAGCATTCCCTTCAGAGCCTGCATGGTTTCTCAGCTAAAAGCAGCACATTTTTTTTTTATTAAAAAATACAATATATGATTTTCTCTTTTCAGGGAGGAGCAGAACATAACATTCCAGTTGTTGTTTCAAAAATCTCCAAGGAGCAAAGAGGTAACCTGTCCACAGAATTGTATTCCAGCCATTTATTTGTAAGGCATTGTTTTTGAAGCGTGAGATGATATTTAAGAACCATAAATCGGGATGTGATTGGCTGGCTCCAGCTTCCCCACCTTCAGTCACTAGTGGCTGACTCTGCTTCCTGAGTCCTTGCCCTTTATCCTCCTGTGGGGAAGAACTTCTTTCACAGAAGGGGAGCAAGGATGAAAATAGAAATCTCTGAAAGCAGGTATGAGATAGGGACCGCACAGCTTTTCAGTTGTTTTATTAAACCAACAAACATACAAAACTAAGGACAACAAGTCCCGTCAAGTAAAGACAATTTTGGGTATCTGTTTTTCAGTTCTCATGCAGAGTTTTACTCAGCTACCAATTCATATGAAACTGTAGGGAAAATAATGGAGATAGAAAGCAGATGTGGCAAGAACTGAAATTAGTAAAACAATGTAATGTTTCAGTATGAACTTGGAACCAATTCCATAGCTGATGGATTGAATGTCTGCGTCTTAAACTTTTTCACGGAGACCTAATAGTCATAAGTGCATGAGAAAATGTGGTCATCTTCCCTTAGAAGAGTGACTAATGTTTGGCAACTATTAGGTCTGCAAAAGTTAAAGTAAATGGAAATATCTCTGCGTGTGTTTCAGTAACTAGGCTGAATCATATTGTTTTGAATTCCCATTTTTTTGTAGATCTTTTAAGATGCTAACCATAAAAAAACCCTTACTTTTCTGTTTATAAGTTTTACTTTTATTAATTAAAAGCCTTTTCGTCTGTCTAACAGAAACAGTCAATGCGTTATCAACCATGGTTTTTCATTTTTCATTTACAGCGGAGCTTTCAGGCCTACTTTTTATTGGAGATGCAATTCTACAGGTATACATTTTGTCATTATATATGCCATCTAAACATTAAATCAATTTACAGTGTGCCATGGGAAACTATGCTTTTCTTTTCATTGCAGATAAATGGCATTAATGTGAGAAAATGCAGACATGAAGAAGTGGTGAGTTTTCTCTTTCCTAATATCATAATTTTCCCCATGTGCAAATAAGAATTTAGTGCATTGCTAAAAACTGTCATTTCATTCATTAGGCAGATATGACATTTATTTAGGGTGATATCAAATTTTCAAATGTTCTCTTAATTGATTTTTTAAAAGTAGAAGTAGATTAATGAGTCCTTTCAAGGATGAAGTGTGTTTTGAAAAATTCTTACTTATGGATGGTCATTTTCTGTGTTTTTACAGTTTTTATATCCACCCTTACCAGTCAATGTCCACTAAATATACCACTGGGGGAAATAGATCTCTAAATCTCTGTAGATGTTTAAAAGCTTAAACCATACATTTATGCCTGTAGAATCTCAGACAGTACACTCAGTTCTCCCTACTCATGGGTTTTCACATGGGCAGATTCAACCAACCATCCATAGTAAATATTTGAGGAAGAACAATAAGAAATAACAACTAATAATAAAAATAATACAAAGCAATATAACAACTATCACATAGTGTTTGCATTATATTAGATATTACAAGTTATCTAAAGATGAATTTGGGCATACAGGAGGATGTGCATAGTTTATATGTGTTGTACTGGCCTAAGCATAGAAAGTCAACACCAAGACAAAAGTATGCCAAATTGCAAGGGTCTTTATTGCCGGCGACCACGGGGGACTCATGTCTCTCCAACCCGTGGCCCCGAAAGGAGGGTGTGAAGACCTTTTATAACCGTAAAACCACCTCGGGAGTGAGGGTGAGGGGCAGGGGTGGGGGTGAGGGGCTTCAGACGTTCTGAGGGCTAGTGGGTTCTGTAAATCACCTCCTGGGCGGAGATGAGGGTGAGGGGCTCTGGACACTCCAAGGGCCAGGGGACTTTGGACATTCTGATTGTTACTTAAGTGGTTCACAAAAGTCAAGATTAGCATTTGTTTACACTTGGATAGGGTGGAAATTACAGTCATGGGTTTGGACTGCTTGCCTGTCACATTTGGGTTACAGAGAGCAGTTTCAATAGAAAGCCAAGGTATGGTTGAGGTATGCAATTTTATGGGGCTTTTACCATGTCACATATGCAAATAATACAATATTTTATATAAGGGACTTGAGCATCCATGGGTGTAGGTATTCTCTGAGGTTTTTCCTGGAACCAATCTCCCACAGATAGATTACCTAGGAACAAAGGAAAGGGCATCTAAACACTGCATGTGTGTGAGTGTGTGTGTTTGTGTGTGCACGTGTGTGTGGTGAGAGAGAGGGAGAGGAGAGAGAACCTTAAACTCAAGGCAGACATGATTAGCACTAGACAGAGTAGTCATCCAGTTTTACTGCGATGTTTTCTTAGATTTGTAAATGTGCAGATTCCCAAGCCCTAGAGTTGGATATTCTAATTCAGCAAGTTTGGGTGGGCCCAGGGATGTGGATTTTAGCAACCAACCTAAGTGGTTCCATTATAGGTGACCTCTAAGGTAAACTTTCAGAGAAACTGAAAGCTTAAGGAACTTCTGTTGAGGGTGGTGAAATGACATTAAAAAATCAGAAAAAGGAACAGGACTGTGGTAGACATTCTGGGACATGTCTGTCGTGGTTGATTGAATACATTCTAAAGCCTCACTGATTTCTGTAACAGCTACTATGGGAAATACTAGGGGAGAAATTGTATTTAAAAGTTTATACTCAAAGGTCAAAGAAAATAAGGAGCACTGTAGGCCTTTCACTCGTCACAGTTCTAGTTTATTTGGTTTTTGGATAGAATGCTCCTCTGTTCAAAGCTATTTGAAGAAAACTATGTTGATACATTTCAATCTCAGAGCAGCAACGTAAAGTGTCTGTGAAAAGCCATGCTGTGGAAGTGCTGATAGGAAGGAGGGTTTTTAATTAGGAACACTTCGCATAACTAATCAAGGTTTTTAGTATTTGTCACTTGTCTTTGTCTTCTTAAAATCTTATTTGAGCCATGCTCTTGCTGCTCTGTGCTCAACTTCATGTAAAATATACTTATTTCAAGTCCCAAGTTTCCTACCAATATGTGCAGAGAAAAGTAATATTTTAGAACAAATTTGTAAACAAGTGAGAAACCAGCACAGCACAGAGCCTTCTATTTTGCAGATTCCTATGTACATTTTAAATACAGTCACATAAGCGAAGCTGCTTGTAACTTGACTCTTTCTTCAAAAGTACAAAGTGATTTGAAATTCATTATCTAGGGAGTAAACACAAGAGCATTCTGTTTTAGAACCACATGCTGTTAGATGGAATGCAATTTGCCTTAGAAGGCAGGCAGGATGCTTATACAAACTGAGATGGAGCTTTGATTAAACAGATTAGTGCAGCATGAAAGATTAGAAAGGGCTCATAATTCCACTTCTGAATGGTTCTCATTCTGTTATAAAGCAAAGAAATTTAGGATTGTATTGCAAATTGTATGTGGTCCTTCAGAATAAACTTTTATTTTTTTCTGAGAAGCTTAACTCTACCAGCTTTGAAATATGGGTAGCAATATTTTTATTTATTGCTAACCTTTGAGTTTCCCACAGCTATTAGATACTTTGCTCTCACAGCTTATTAGCTAAAGCCAATAGACTTACACCTCAGTAGAACAGAGATACTAATTAAATGTTTAATAATAAACCTACAAGAGCAGAAAAAGGTATAACAAGCTTAGAGAATGTAGGTGGTTTTGAACAAGCATGCTGATATTCCACATTTCTTATTTCAAATAGCATGCTGTTATGCCACATTCCTTGTAAAATACCAAATTCAGAAACAAATTGGGCAGGTATGAAAGCATGTCATTTGTGCACGTAACTTTTGTTTTATGCACCTACTCTACTCCTTGTTGTTAGAAATTCTGCATTCAGCCTCTAATCAGCTTTACTGTCAGGCAGGCTTCAACAGTGTAAATGTTACTTTTGTGTTTGAGTTATCAGGTTTGATACGGAAGGGGGATTTTACATTGTCCACTGTGGGTGCTCAGTAGATTTTTGGATGGGATTCTGTAACAAAATACCAAAAATTAGACCCCTGAAGCATTTGCATCTACTGTATATATTTCTCATGGGACCAGTATGGGAGTGTAGCAGGTGAATTGCCGGCTTAACTCACATCACCCACTGCATTCTGGCTGGCAGACTGTTAAGGAAGAGAAGCCCACAGCCTCCTCATGAAGGGAAACTAGAGCCAGTGCCCATCAGTGCTTGGCATGCAGCTTGGTGGCCACATAGGGCCTCAGTGTTGAGCAACAACTCTGCAGACCCCAGCTCAACCATTACTAACATTATCATTTAAGGTAAACAAAATGAACTGGCCTTTTCTATCTGTCTGATATGTATTCATAAGAATGAGCGACCAATAAATGTTATAGGAATGAATGAGATTAACATGTGTAAAACTCCAAGCATACACCTGGCAATTAAGCAGTCATACATTATTTTGATGCCACCAAATGGCACCACTCACATGATGCTGTTCTTCTCAATGTTCCCTTTTCGTGGGCACTGCCATGTCAAGGTGGGAGACTGACTGATTAGAACCCATGATGGGCCTTGCGGGGGGTCGCACACAGACAGAGTCAAGGCTGCTGCTCAGCATCCAATGCTCCCTCCGCCAATTCCAGTGAGAAGTTGACATGGTCACCCACAGCAAGAGTGGCAAGATCCTGTGAAAAATGGGGATTCGTCGTTCATCCTAGCAGCGTGTCTTTTTATTTTCCATGTGAATGTGTTTTGAAGCTTATGAGTTGTGCCTCCAAGACACCAAAGCCCCTCAAAAAACAATCTATTGCCACTGCTGATGTTAACATTGATGGTACTTTCCTTACGACTGAACCCAAGACACGTTAAGCTGATGGTTATCTCTATATCTTGTCATCTGTATTTTTCTTTTGCTTAACAAGCAAACTGATCACATATCAAGAATTGTCTGAGTGGTTGAGCATGGTGGCTCAAGTCTGTAATCCCAGCACTTTGGGAGGTCGAGGCGGGCAGATCACTTGAGGCCAGGGGTGCCAGACCAGCCTGGCCAACATAGTGAAACCCTGTTTCCACTAAAAATACAGAAATTAGTTAGGCATGGTGGCAAGTGCCTGTAATCCAAGTTATTTGGGAGGTTGAGGCAGCAGAGTTGCTTGAACCTGGGAAGCGGAGGCTGCAGTGAGCTGAGATCATGCCACTGCACTCCAGCCTGGCAGACAGAGGGAGACCTGTCTAAATAATAATTATAATAATAAATAAAGAATTGTCTGAGTGCTATCTATGCAAAAAGCACTGAGACTGAGTACTTTGTGTGAAAAGAAAGACTACACAAGTAACTCTACTGATGTAACCTTATTGATATGTGGGCATCGCTTCTTTAGATTTTAATAATGATGTATGCAAAAAAATTGAAGAAAACTATTAGAAATGGGGTAATATGAAAACAATGTTTATTTACAATGGTATTTAACATAACAATGATGATCTATCCACTAGAAATAATATGAATTAAGATTTTACTATAGCAGCAAAGTGTTTGTTGAATTAAAAAGCATCCTGCTTCTAACAAGATAATCTATTCATATAACTTAAGTTTCCATTTATGAGAGTTTTGAAAGAGTAGATCATTAGGCAAAGCAAAATGGATGCATAGCTGACTCCAGAGGCTTCCTTTAAAGTAATATTTCCACTTTCAGACTTGAGATTTATGGGTTTCCAAAAAATATGTTCATCTCCTTTTTGTTTCTATGATTCTCAGAATTTATTAGGAAATTTGAATTGCAAGTAATTAACACCTAATTCTGAAGTTATGATTGTGAACTAAACTCTAAGAAAACCCCGTAATTCTAAAAGAATAGAATGAGTAGCTAAAATTATATAATTTAAAATGACTCCTTCATACAGTGAAAACAAATGCTGATAAAACCTAATGCAAAAATACTAGTTAAAAGCATTTTTCTTGTTATGATATATGCTTAACTTTATTCAAAACTTCCATTGGAGTAAGAACATATTCTTTTCACTTTAGATTAA